GTCCCTCGTTTATTCGACACAACACACAGAGGTGGAGCTAGAATATTTTTGTAGCAAGGGCAAAAATTATAATGAAAATCAATCAATCGAGATAATTTAGTTTGAATATAATTTATTTTAATTAAATTTTAAATATAAAAATCTAATTTTCAAGAAAGTAAAAATCAAGAATCTAATTATTGAGAGAACATTGACAGAGAGAGACGATTAAAGAGAACACTCAAATAAATAATAACACTATCAAACTCGTCGTGATTTCTGAAATTGATATGCAGTAATGTTATACTGATCAAAATTAAAGACCAAATAAAGAGATCAAATGACATGACAGTTGCTGATATGACAAGATTAATTGTCATGTCATTCATTTTTTCTGTTTTTTTGTCTAGGGTTATTAGAGAAGCGAAGAAGACGAAAAAATTTTATCCTATCTGTCCTTGATTTGGAGAAGACGAAAAGGTTTTGCTGATATAACAGTTAATTTTGCCATATTAACAATTGTTATGTCATTTTGGCTCTTTATTTGGTTTATAATTTTGGTCATCATAGCATTACTGATTGATTTAATGTGATAACAATCGGTGACTTGATGTGTAAAAAAAGAGAGAATTATATATAAAAGAGACGACAATGAATTGTATAAAATTAGCGTCTAAATTTTTAATTCACGAAAGAATTCAACTTTTTACTACTAGAAATAGTATTATTGGGGTCTGAAAATCTATCTTAAATTGTTAACTTAATGACACTAGTTATATTGGAGATGTTAAAATAGTATTATTTTAATTAGAACTCTTGAAATTATTTTTTGAGACCATGCCACTAGCACGCTATTAGGTCAGTAAATTGGTTTAAATTTTTAGACACAAAAATATTATTGAAATATATAAGTAGCGATAAATTTATACAAATTTTTTTGGGTTCAAAATTTTAAAAAATTATAAATTTATAAACATTTCAGAACAACCCAAATCTTTTTCAAATTGCATTGGGAGCAGTGCCCCCAACTGCATCCAATGTAAATCCGTCACTATCAACACGTATTTGCTTTACACATGCATTAATTTGTAGATGCACCGTGCATCAAACCATGTGTATCCCGTAATCTAATATCTATATAATAAAGTATTTTACAATTCAAATTTTAAAAGATAAATAAAATAATTTTTATTTTTTACAGTTCAAATCGCTTTAAATTTTATTTTAAAGTTAATTTAACGGATAATATTAATATCTTAAATTTAATATGAAAAATAGGACTTTAAAGGTGTGTTTGAAATGACTTTTTAAAAGTAATTCTAAAAATTATTTCTCATAAGTATTTTAAAAAAAATAGTATTTTAAACCGCCCCATCACCACCACCCTCACCCCCGCCATAACCACTACCACCGTCGACGCCGGCTTTACCACGGTTATTGTCACCTATCATAACCATCATTGTCTTCTACCACCATCACTGTTGCCTACCATCTCTCACCCCACTACAACCGATGCTTAAAATCATTTATCTCTTTTCTATGTTTGTGATTTGATTTATGATATAAATACAAATATGTTTATTATTTATTATTTTTTATTACTCTGTACCTTCAGGCATGAACAATAATTAATAATATAATATTATGCACAACTAAAAATTGAACAACAAAATTGTTAAAAATAGACCAAATAATTAGAAAAACAAAATTTATTGGCTGTTCTAATATATGGGAAGAAACGATGTTAGATTTTATAATGCCTCTCCTCATTTTGAATATTCTTATTTTATTGAATTTCTACCGTTCTTTTAAAAATAAAAATAAATAAGAGATTGTACTGAGGTGGGAAAATAGGAAAGAGCGCGGTTAAGTAGGGTGTCCATTATTTTCAAAAAAAGANAATATGTAGTTTTACTATTTTTTAAAAAAATTAAAAAACTAAAAATATATTTTTTTCCATCTTACTAAGCTCAAAAAAAAATAATTATTTTTATTTTTCATTCATCATACTAAACACAAATGAAAAAAAATGTATCATTCTTACTTTTTTCTATTGAAAGATAAAAAATTTCATTTCTCTTACTTTTTATATTTCCTATTAAACGGAGCACTAAATTAAGCCAAAATTTTGAAGCCTGACATTGATAATTAAAATTGTTTATTTCGCCATTGGTCATCCTTTGACCAGAACAAAAACTATGTATTAGTTTTCTGATTAAGGAACTAAACAAAAATGTTTTTGTAATGGTTGCATGTTGCGTGCGCAACGTGTGTCACTGATGGGATTAATAATTGGGGGATTTACTATTTTTCTTCCTAGTCTTGCAGAATTAATTACACCAAAGGCAAGTTAGTTGGCATTCACGTGAATGTCCGCAGCACCTAATCCTTGGAGTAAGACAAAAATTATGTTTTTTGGTATCATGGTCGGTAGGGCCGTGAATGGATTGACAAAATGCACACACTTTATGAACTAAAAGTGTATTTAACTCATTTATTATACTCTTTTTGTTTTTAAATATATATCGTTTTACTCAATATTTTTTATTCCACAATATCTGTTATTTTATGAAACCAAAACATAATTAATATTTTTTTTCCAAATTTACCCTTATCTCTATTTTCTAATAAGTGTTTAATAGATTAAGTATAGATTAAATGTCTTTCATATTTTTTTCCTTCCCAATATGTATTAAATAAGGGTGTTTTAGTCTTGTTTAATTATTTTTTAGTCATACTAGAGTTATTTAATAATTTTTTTAATCCCTGTATAAAAACCTTAAACGACAGATATTTAAGAACGGATGAAATAATAGGGTATAATATCGAAATATGATTTCATGTAATCGAATCTTTAAAAAATTAGGATACAACTTTATTAAATTTAGTTGAGTTGAATATCTCTCTCATTCATAACCACCATTTTTCTTAATCGTCCCTCGTTTATTCGACACAACACACAGAGGTGGAGCCAAAATATTTTTGTAGCAAGGGCAAAATTTATAATGAAAATCAATCAATCGAGATAATTTAGTTTGAATATAATTTATTTTAATTAAATTTTAAATATAAAAATCTAATTTTCAAGAAAGTAAAAATCAAGAATCTAATTATTGAGAGAACATTGACAAAGAGAGACAATTAAAAAGAACACTCAAATAAATAATAACACTATCAAACTCGTCGTGATTTCTGAAATTGATATGCAGTAATGCTATACTGATCAAAATTAAGGACCAAATAAAGAGATCAAATGACATGACAGTTGTTGATATGACAAAATTAACTGTCATGTCATTCATTTTCTCTGTTTTTTTGTCTGGGGTTATTAGAGAAGCAAAGAAGACGAAAATTTTTTACCCCATCTGTCCTTGATTTGGAGAAGACAAAAAGGTTTTGCTGATATAACAGTTAATTTTGCCATATTAGCAATTGTTATGTCACTTTGACTCTTTATTTGGTTTATAATTTTGGTCAGCATAGCATTATTGATTGATTTAATGTGATAACAATCGGTGACTTGATGTGTAAAAAAAGAGAGAATTATATATAAAAGAGACGACAATGAATTGTATGAAATTAGCGTCTAAATTTTTAATTCACGAAAGAATTCAACTTTTTATTACTAGAAATAGTGTTATTGGGGTCTGAAAATCTATCTTAAATTGTTAATTTAGTGACACTAGCTATATTGGAGATGTTAAAATAGTATTATTTTAATTAGAACTCTTGAAATTATTTTTTTGAGACCATGCCACTAGCACGCTATTAGGTCAGTAAATCGGTTTAAATTTTTAGACACAAAAATATTATTGAAATATATATGTAGCGATAAATTTATACAAATTTTTTTGGGGTCAAAAGTTTAAATAATTATAAATTTATAAACATTTCAGAACTACCCAAATCTTTTTCAAATTGCATTGGGAGCAGTGCCCCCAACTGCATCCAATGTAAATCCGTCACTATCAACACGTATTTGCTTTACACATGCATTAATTTGTAGATGCACCGTGCATCACACCATGTGTATCCCGTAATCTAATATTTATATAATAAAATATCTTACAATTTAAATTTTAAAAAATAAATAAAATAATTTTTATTTTTGACAGTTCAAATCGTTTTAAATTTTATTTTAAAGTTAATTTAACGGATAATATTAATATCTTAAATTTAATATGAAAAATAGGACTTTAAGGGTGTGTTTGGAATGATTTTTTAAAAGTAATTCTAAAAATTATTTCTCATAAGTATTTAAAAAAAAATAGTATTTTAAACCGCCCTATTACCACCACCCTCACCCCCGCCATAACCACTACCACCGTCGACGCCGGCTTTACCACGGTTATTGTCACCTATCATAACCATCATCGTCTTTTACCACCATCACTGTTGCCTACCATCTCTCACCCCACTACAACCGATGCTTAAAATCATTTATCTCTTTTCTATGTTTGTGATTTGATTTTAGATATAAATACAAATATGTTTATTATTTATTATTTTTTATTACTCTGTACCTTCAGGCATGAACAATAACTAATAATATAATATTATGCACAACTAAAAATTGAACAACAAAATTGTTAAAAATAGACCAAATAATTAGAAAAACAAAATTTATTGGCTGTTCTAATATATGGGAAGAAACGATGTTAGATTTTATAATGCCTCTCCTCATTTTGAATATTCTTATTTTATTGAATTTCTACCGTTCTTTTAAAAATAAAAATAAATAAGAGATTGTACTGAGGTGGGAAAATAGGAAAGAGCGCGGTTAAGTAGGGTGTCCATTATTTTCAAAAAAAGAAAATCCTTTTTCCTATTTGTGCCAACTCGGAATCAAAGAATCTGCTTCTCTCTCTAACCTGATTTGCCCTTCTTCTCTCTGTGTCGCTCTCCAAACCTACTTTTCTGCGCAATTTGGCGTAAAGACAAAAAATCAGTGGCCAATACTAGAAATAAATTAAGGTTGTTAATATTATGCTATTGTTTCAACACATGAGAGAAAGACAAACACGCAATTGCAGGCTTGCAGCACAACAAAACAACATCACAATACGTTTTCCCTCTCTCTGCCTCTATGTCTCTCTCTCTCTACCCTATTGGTGTGATTAAAGTCTGAGTCATTGAGCACAGAAGAACTTTTTCTGCAGTCGTGGGTCTGTTTTCCTCTCTTTAGGAAATTGATAAAGGGTTTTCTTTTTTCACATGGGTCATCTGATTTTTGCTGGTTTAGGATATATAGATGGAGGATGATGATGAAGAAGAAACCTGTGATCCCTCTCTCTCTCTCTCTCTGTAGATATATGTGGATATGTATATAAGCGATTTCATATATGAATATATAATTAGAGGTAGTTGATTATGATGATGAAGGACAAGAGAGACATAAGGCCTGTGTTATTGAAATTTGGGGTGGCTTTAGCTCTCTCCCTTGGTGGGATTCTGTATTCAATCCTCAGAACAAAACGGATTAAACCCTCTCAATCCCCACCCTCACCGCCCTCTTCAGGTTCCTTTTTTGTCCTTTTATATCATCTCTTTGTTCTTAATTAATCTAGGTTTTGATTTGTAAAATTATATGTTGATTTATGCTTGAATTCAGATTGCGGTAATCAAATTAATTCTGGAGGGGAAAGAGCTGTGCTTAAAAATGATTCTCATACCTTCCAAACATCACCCAAATCTAGTGGCACTCCTTCAAATTCATCAGAGACACATGTAAGATCATTTTGTTTGCCATTTAAATTTGAAGTTGTGATTTTTTTTTCTTCCCATTTTCAAGTGATTTTCTTAACCAGATTCAAGGATAAGATTTGCTTATCCGAGTGTTTGTGATTCTTATATATATATATATATATCACTTGAGCTGTGTTGATTGGTTAGAGAATTTTGCAATATGATTGCTATTGAAAACTTATCACCATACTGATGAATGGACAATTAATGGACTTGGTTACGGTTGTAGCTATCGGTCTGATATGGAGGATTGTATGATTGATTTAGGATCATTCTGTTCTTTTTTTTTTCTAAAATACTAAAGGGGCCAATTTACGATTTATACGATCTCTGAGAAGTTGGATGGTAATGCCTTTGCTAATTTGACCCCAAAACTGGTCTGTGACATGGAAATAGAATAATGCATCTTGCTGCTTTTTACATCCTAATAAACTAATCCACGACCAACAAGTTTTCCGAAATTGGATTGAATAGCTGCTGGCTAGAGAGCAAAAGGGTTCGATCATTGAGCAAGCGACTGGTCTAAGCCAGAGGAGCTAAGATTTGGTGAACAGAAGCTTAGTCATGTGCTGTCTTGTTTAGTCTAAATTCGTTTACATTTCTATTGGCCAATGGGGAATTTCCTTGCTTTTCTTGTTCTTTTTTTTTTCACCATGTGTGCTTCGCATATGCGGTAATAACTGGGAAACATGTATAGTAGAATTTATTGACAAATTGTGTGAACCTTTGGATCAACAATGATTAGTTGTCTAGTTATATGGTGAATTGAGGCCTTTTTTATTTATCCAAAATTTTTTTTTTTTTTTTGGAAAAGTGTCCCAAAAAAAAAATTTGGGCCTTAGTAATACCATATTTCTACAGACCTGTAAAATCAGTTGATTGTGCTCTTGCTGGGTATAATCCTTTCAAAAATAAATGTTGTTTTCTTGCTTGCAGGAGGCATCATGTCTCCCCAAAGTTATATTTGATAATTCTTTCACTGGCCTGTCTCCAAGCGGTAGATCTCATGACGATAAAGATGAGTTGCTATTGCCAGAGTTTAATGAGCTTCTGAAGGAATTCGATTTGGCCGCCACAAAGGCTGGTATTTCTCCAAGGAAAGATGTAGAAACGCCAACGCCAAATGCAGGAACACCCAGAGGATATACATGTGATGAAAGGGAAGACCACGAACAAGAGATTAAGAACCTTACGAACATGGTTAAAATTCTTAAAGAGAGGGAGAGGAACCTTGAAATCCAATTGCTCGAGTATTATGGTCTTAAAGAGCAAGAAACTGCTGTCATGGAACTCCAGAACAGATTGAAGATAAACAATATGGAGGCTAAACTTTTCAGTCTAAAAATTGAGTCCTTGCAGGCAGATAATAGGAGATTAGAGGTGCAAGTGGCCGATTATGCAAAAGTAGTGGCAGAGCTTGAAGCTGTGAAAGCAAAAATAAAGATTCTCAAGAAGAAGCTTAGGTCTGAAGCTGAACAAAACAAGGAACAGATCTTAACCCTTCAACAAAGAGTCATGAAGCTGCAGGACCAGGAAAACAATGCTGTTGCAGGTGATCCGGCAGTTAGTTTAAAGCTTCAAAGACTAAAGGATTTGGAGGAGGAGGCGGAGGAATTGCGGAAGTCTAATTATAGCTTGAGGCTTCAAAATTCTGATTTGGCTCAGAGGTTGGAGAATGTTCAAATTCTTGCAACTTCTGTTTTGGAAGATGAAGGGGTAATTTAATTGTTTCAATTGTAGTATATGCGCTTTTCTGCTCTTTTTGAATTCAATTTCAATTTATGTGTATGATTTGTTGCAGACAGAAGCATTAAAGGAGGAAACCCGCTGCTTAAGACAACGGCATGAAGATTTAACAAAGGAGATTGAGCGACTCCAAGTTGATCGGTGCTCTGATGTTGAAGAATTAGTCTATCTCAGATGGATAAATGCTTGCTTACGATATGAGCTGAGAAATTATCAGCCCGATCAGGGCAAAACAATTGCTAGGGACCTCAGTAAAACATTAAGCCCCAAGTCAGAAGAGAAAGCCAAGCAGCTAATTCTTGAATATGCAAATAAAGAAGGCCAGGGGGAAAATGGGATAAATATTGTGGATTTTGATTATGACCGGTGGTCATCTTCCCAAGCTTCGTATCTTACAGATTCCGGTGAGTTAGATGATTCTTCTATTGATAACTCATCAGCTAACAAAACCAACACTTCAAGCAAAACAAAAGTTTTCAGTAAGCTCATGAGATTATTAAAAGGAAAGGAAGGTCATCATCATAGTCGGGGTTCATCTCTGGAAACAACTGCCTGTGTAGAAGATACAGTAGGATTGTATTATAGTGGCTCTCCAGGGCGCAATTCTGGTGCTTCGACAGGGATCGATGCTGGAACTGATGGGGGTCATAATAGATTGAGAACTTCATCCCGGGGTTCATCTAGATCTTCTATGGATCTCCAAAGAGCAATGATTGTAAAAGTGGCAGATAGCAATGACTTGGAAGGTGTACTTCAGAGAAACAGTGATGCGGGGTCATCATTTGTTTATAGAAGAATCGATTCCATTGCAGAAAATATTAGTGATTCGCCCCAAAAAAACCATCTTCATGATCAAGAACAAGAAAACGCTGAGAAATCTGAATTGTTGAAGTATGCAGAAGTTTTGAAGGGTTCTCGTGGTAAAAAATCATTTCACAGGAGATCAGTATCATTTAGTTCCTTCTAACAATTCATAGCTTCACAGGTTTGTAATCTCATATATCTGATTGTATCTAAGTTGGTAGTTACTCCATTATCCTCTTTGTTGATAGAGAATGGGGTCAGAATGTGGTGTGCCTCCATAAATGGCCCCACAGTCAGTTATAAGATCACCATAATTGTTTAGGTTTTCTAGTGATTGTCCTATGTAAAGCATAAACTGTTAGAAAGCTAGTTTGTAAACATAAGGAAGCACTATAAATGGATATGAGAGTTTTTGAGTTCCTCTGTATTTGATGTGTAGTGAAAAAAATGGTTGGCTCAATTAGCATATTTGGCTTTGTCTTCTGAACTCAAAAGGTGTATTGCAATTGCTAAGACTTGAAGCACGCATATTTATCATATCGATCAAGGCTAAACTCGAGTTTTCATTAAGGCTCGCATGTTTTTTTGTCTAGGTTCATCAAGATGTACCCTGGATTGCGACCATTTGTCCCAACAATTGTAGCACGTGTGTTGCCCAAGGTATGATGGCTTGACGTCATCCTCACCTTCCTCCAGTTTATCACGACAGTTTGATCAAAATTTTAAACTCAAATTCCAAATTCAGATGTTATAAGGGAATTATTGGTTTACTCGAGTTGATTTGTTGGCTGATTCAATGCGCATAATTTGTAGGTACTTGTCGGTTATCTTGAATTTATGCTATTTAAATTGATTGATTTTCTTGATTCTTAAAACTTGAATCGAATTTCTATGTTTAGGTAAAAGCTCATTTTCATGGGACTGTACAACATACCTAACTAATTTCACTTGAAAACTTTCTTAAATGAACCTTACTTCACTGGAGATCCAATTTAAATCCTAAAACCTTGATTTGTTGGTCTGCACTTGACATAGGATTCACAAGGCAGTCGTCGACCTACATGAAACGCTGGCGTTTTGGATGTTTCACAAGGTAAAACGACATCGTATCTTTGCTACCAAATTGATGCTGACAAATTTCTGTTACAAGACGCGCGTCGTGAGGTAGACATCCCCACCCTCGACAGTTATAACTGTCTCCCTCTCTCATTTACCATAATAAAGTAATTTATAATTCAAATTTAAAAAAATAAATAAAATAATTTTTGCTATTCACGGTTGAGATAACTTTAAATTTTATTTTAAAGTTAATCTAACGGTTAATATTAAAACTCCAAATTTAATAGGAAAAATTAAGTCTCTAAAGATGTGTTTGGAATAATTTGTTAAAAATATTTTTAAGAATTATTTTTCATAAATACTTTAAAAAAAAAAATTATTTTGAATCGCTCCACCACTATCTCTACCACCGTTACCACCACCACTGTCGTTATCACTGTCGCCACCACCACTACTGTTGCCCCCACCATTGCTTCCACCATCGCCACTATTACCATCGTCGTCGCCTCCACCACCATCACCATCGTTGCCACTGCGGCCACTACCACCACTACCATCATCACCACCATTGCAACTATTATTGTTTTCTACCACTATCACTACCACTACCACTCATTATGTCTCACTCTCACTATAAATCGATATTTAAATTATTTTATTTTTTTATGTTATAATTTAATTTTAAATATAAATACAAATATATTTATTATTTACTATTTTTTACTACTTTAACAAACGCAATAACTAACAGATGCAATAACTAGCACGTATATATAATAGCACCCAGGTCCAAACTTCTACTCTCACAATCGCACCTTCAGCTTTCCTTCTCTCTCTCTCTCTAAAACTTCTCATATTTTCTGTGTAAAAAGTTCATTGGTTCTTTATTCGTTTGGGAAAAAGAAAATGGCGGTGACACTACCACCACTAGCGGCTGCGCCACCATTTGATCTACTAAGGGAGGCCTCATTGTACGTCGGTGATCTGCACCCAGAAGTGAATGAGAATGATCTGGTTCAAGCATTTCGGGTAATGGGTCCATTGGTCTCAGTTTACCTCTGCAGAGACAGAGTCACTTACAAATCCCTTCGATACGGTTTCGTCAACTTCTTCTTTCCTTCTCATGGTAATTCCGTGTTGGCGTGAGTGTTAGTTTGTAGTTCATTCTCGTTCATTTTCTTGGCTTCGTCCTCTTGTTTATCGTTTCTAGAACAAAATGGGTCTCTCTTTCCTAGTACGTCGCAATTCCGAAATTGGGTCTTCATAGTTCTCTTTTTTTGTGATTGGTGTATATCAATGTCTGTATGTCTCTCTAACGTTCTTGGTCTCTCTCTCTCTCTTCTCAATGATTTCTCGGAATTTTCCTAGGCATTTTATGTTCTTTGTATCTATGTAGTTTGTAAAAACATTACAGTTTCTTTAGATTAAACCACAGTACGGAATCAACCGTGCTTGAATCCGAGAAATGGTTTCTTGAAGTGGGTTCTGTTAGTTTATTCTATTTTCTTGGGTTTCTTGACGTTTTGTTTGTGTGTCTTGTTAAATGTGATTTTGTGACTTGGCTACCTCTCGATTTCGTTTTTTCTTTGCTCTTTAGTTTCTGGAAAGTTGAGAGTGATATTTTGATGAGATCTATGAAGAGTTTGATCATAGGAAATATGAATAATTGATGATCTAGTCATGTCTCTTTTGGTTTAAGTTTGTCCTTCTGTTTTATCTTTCTCTGTTATGAGGGCATAAAAACATTTGAAAATGAAGACTGGAACTAATTTTTTTAGGTTGATCTTGGCCTTGTATTTCTCGTATTTCTTTCGTGTGGTAATCTACAGGAATATGAACTGTTTTTGCTCAGAATCTTTACATGTAATTTGTATCTTTGCTATTCCTCTGCTGTTATCAGCTTCTAGGGCTCTGGCTTGCCTAAACCACACTGAATTAAAGGGAAAAACCATGAGGATAATGTGGTGTGAGAAAGACCCTGTTACAAGAAATACTGGAATTGCCAATCTTTTTGTCAAGAACCTTCACCCTTCAGTCAGCAGTGCTCGTTTGCAGAGTATTTTTTCCAAGTTTGGGAATATAATCTCTTGCAAGGTGGCTGAGGAAAATGGAAAGAGTAAGGGTTTCGGGTTTGTTCAGTATGATCGGGAAGGTTCAGCGATCACAGCACTCAATGCTCTTCATGGAACTGTGCTTGAAGGGAAGAAGTTGTATCCTCTACCATTTCTGGCTCTCCATTTCCCTGGCTATCACATCTCCGGTTCTTTTTTTGGTTTATGCTTCAAATTTGTTCCTTGATGGTTTTTATTTCGGTGCTAAGTTTTTGTGTATCTAGTATGTAATTTCCCTAATCCTTAATAGCTTTTAATTTAGAAATAACCTGCATCTGGTGCCTACTAACACATTGCTTTATGTTCAATTCTTAATGTTTCAGAATTAGATGCTTCCGACTTATTTTAGGTTCTATGTTGCAAGATTTATCTACTGCTAGTTTCGAAAAAGGCATTTCCCTCTCCTTTTCCTTTCCATAGGCACCCTTTTGAAACTGATCCTATGTCATCTAAAAATGGGCATATGGGTTTCATGCAGTTTCTTTAGGCGATTACATATAGTGAAGGCCTCATGTGAATGATAATTTTCTTTGCTGGTGCCCTGGTACTGATTGCTATTTTGCAGAGTAATGAATTGTTACACTGTTAAGTGAGAAGATATGTTTTCTTACTCTGGAGATATTCATGCATACTTTTCAAGTCTAAAACTTTATTGGTTATGATGAAATTTTAAAGTTAGAACCTCTATTACTTTCTTCATGCTCTTTGTGGCATGGGGATTTCTTCCTGTTTCATGGACATTGTTTCTTTAATTCACTCTCCTTTTTATCTTCCTGAAATTGGCTATCAGGTACTCTCTCAAACTTGCGGCCAGGGCATTGTTATTGATTATGTGTTTTGACATGCAGTATCATCTGTAATTTGTTTAATTATTTGGTCTCCATCAGATATGTGTCCAAGTTTGTCAGGAAAAGCCAGCAGAAGGATTACTGTGACGACCCAAAATTCACAAATCTGTATGTGAAAAATGTGGATAAAGATTTGACAGAGGATTTCCTTCGAGATAAATTTTCAAAATATGGGAAGATCAGCAATGCTGCCATCATGAAGGATGATGAGGGGAAGTCAAAAGGTTTTGGTTTTGTCAACTTTGAGTCACATGAAGAGGCTGAGAAGGCTGTGGAGGCCATGAATGGTGTACTTATCGGTAAACATCCTACTTATTTTTTCCTGTGTTTCAGAATTCTACATGTGGTAGTTCCTTGAATGCAAAAAATTTCCCTGTGGATAGGATCCAAAAAAATCTTTGTAGGAAGAGCTCAGAAGAAAGCTGAAAGGGAAGAGCTCTTAAAACGTGCACGTGAGGAGATGCTCAACCGTCATGCTGAGATGTTGAACTCTTCAGATTTATACGTGAAAAATCTAAATATATCAATTGATGGCAGAAAATTGGAAGAAATTTTTAGTGCTTTTGGGGAAGTAAAATCAACAAAAGTGGTATGCGACAAAAATGGAGTTAGTAAAGGATTTGGATTTGTAAGTTTTTCCAATCCAGAAGGAGCAAAGAAAGCTTTAAATGCACTCAATGGTTAGCTAAATATCATTCATGTCTTTCCTTTTGTTCCATGTATAACCCAAAGGTCCATGAATTTATGTTTCTCTTATTTGAGTCTGGTTTTTCACAGGAACCACTATCGAAGGGAAGTCTCTGTATGTGACTGTGGCTCAGCCCACAAAAGAACGTCGCAGGGATATGCAGATTCGTTTGCCACAATACCCACCACACCCATATTATACTTCTAACTGGGATTCCTATGCCACTAAGTTTCGTCCAATCCATTATGATCTCCCTCTTTATCCCCCTGAAGTACCTCCCCATTCACACCAGCCAACTATATATCAGTACCATGGTAGGCATGCTGGTGCATTCTATCCGTTTGGAGCACATAAAGTTGACCGGAACTTTTCTACATATGTAAGGAAATCATGTTCTATGTTGCTCAACTTGTTCATAATTAATGTCGAGTTTGATCAATCACTGATTTTAATTTACAAGTTGAGAAAATGCATTTGTAGAATCCTGCGATAAAACCACTGCAGGGAGCCGCCAAGGACTGGATTCTCCAGCAGCTTGTATGTTTCTTCCATTTTCTTATTTTTCAACTTCCCCCCCCTTCACAGGTTAAGATTCCATGTAGTACTTAGCAAATCATAGCATATTTCCCTGATAATGTACTATTGTTGTATTTACGATGGTCAAGGGCTTGCAAATCATAATGGTTCACACTAAATAATATTTTTAATTGTTTCTCAGAGTGCCAGTTTGTTTAACTTCATTTCATGACATTTGCTATCTCAAATGCTCCTATGGGAGAGCAGAACTCTAGGAAAATCAAGAACGAGAGGAGTGGTGCTGCAGAAGGCTTTTCCAAAGGCTCAACTGTTACAAAAAAGTACTTTGTAACATCATCAGCTCATGTATGCAAGAACAACATTGGGGAACCTCTTCATCCGTCAGTTGAGAATCTTCAGGTCTGTGATTACCCCACATTCTTTTCTCGAAGTTATTGTAGTTCATGAGGTAACTTTGTTTATTGACTATGTCTGCAGTCATTTACCAATAAGCTGTTCCAAAAAATCTAAATTTTGGGGGAGAATTTTCTCATTTTTATCTGTCTATAGCAGCTAAATGACTCTCTCTCTCTCTCTAGGCTAAGCCTGCAGCAAACATAACTGAAATGCTGTTGCAAATAAAGAACTCTGATATGCAGAAGCTACTGAATTCATGGAACTCCAAGGCAATGGAGGTTGAGAGAGTGGTATAATGCTGAAGCAAGCAAACTTTCAGACCGACTCAGCTGTCTGCTTGCAGCTTGAGCAACTGATATGTGGCGTTGCAAATTCTAAATGCCGTATGCTGTCTTCTTTGGATTTTTTGTTTTTTGAACAATTGACACTTTTTGTTCTCCCCAGTGATGAATTTGCACAGTTTTTGTAATATGCTTTACTTCTGTTTTGGACACTTATGCCATGCAGTTAATACATACTGTAAAACTGATGTTTTGTTCTTCTTTCCTCAGAATGCTAAAGCTTTTTTGGTTATTGAGTTCCATATGAGTGTTATCTTGATTCGTGTGTGCTTAACTCTGATCGTAATTAAAGACTCATAATTACATAAATTTGCAACGAAATTCTGAGGGGCCGGTTCTTGATGGTTGTTTGATAGGGATTGAAACTTCTCCGTTGAATTTGAAGATGTAGTTCTGTCAAATTCTTATTGCATTGCAGTAATGCTTCAGGAATGTTACCCAGTTGTCTTTTAATGTAATTCTTAGTCATGTTAATGGGTGATTTTTGGGTCCTTTCTTCTCTTTCATGGGTTGTTTACACCACATCACTGAAAGGCAGCCATTGCATGAGATTTCTGCAAATGCGCCGTCTGGGGATAGTCATATCGAATAGTATGATTGAATGCACCATATCATAAAATTTTGAAGATATTTATTAGGAACATAGATTAAATAATACGGGACAAGCCTTTGAGTCTCAATAGAAATACAAGAGCAGAAAGCATACACAGCTTTAACATTGTACAGAATTTTGTCATGAAAATAGAGCCTCATGCTATAAGGTTGATGCCCTGGATTATCAATGCATCAGCCAGAACCTGATTAGCAGCCTGAGATGGATGAACACTGTCCCAGAACACATACTGAGTTGCATTGTTACAAGTTCCTGCTGATTTAGGATTGCACAAGAGTGATGTTGTCTCGACGGTCCCTGTTCCACAGCAGCCTCTCCCTGCTTCCGCAAAACCTACAATGACAGGACAATTGCAATGCTAGTATCATGAAAGAACAAAATTTCGTCTTGTTTCAGTCATTTGGATCAAAACCAAAGTGAATCACTTGCTCAAAAACGAAATCCCACAAAATCTCCATTTTTTGGATTGTTATCGTAATGTTTTGAGCATACCAAAATTGTACACCGAAGCGAAATTTTGCTCGTTAATTATCATTTTGCTATCTTTTGGACTCGTAAATAACCTGAACTGGATTCATACCATAATTTGAAGGAGCTCGAACAACGTCGTAAAGTGGCTTGAAAATGTCAAAAACAGCAATTTTGAGGCCAGGAAGTTGCTTTTGGAGTTGAGTTGCAGCTGAGTTGATCTTCTTGTTGAAGCCTTGGGCATCAGTGTTTAACCTAGAGACACACCCTGGCTGGTGAAACCCAAATAAAGTGATGGCTGCAGGAAGGCACCCAAGTGGTGGGAGAGATGTCACCCCAATTCTCCTTGCTCCCAAGCCATACAAGTCCTGTTTGTGGAACAAGGCAATCAAATAACTTCATTTACACTAGATGAATATGCTCAAGTACAAACTAGAAATCAACCTATGCTGGCATCACATCACTTCCCGACCCTTATAGTTTAATATTCTTCGCTTTGAGCTAGATCTACATGGTCTTAAAATGCGTTGTATAACAAACTTCCGAAACCTAATCTTTTTCCCCCGGAACTTATCAAAGCTTTAACTTATCAATGATTAATACTTACTTCAGCAAGCGATGTGATGGAGTTTTCACAATTCACTCCTAAGACCCAAATGGGTCTAGATCTCATATGATATACTTTTCTTCAACTTAACTCAATGATAGACTACCTATATAGTAAGTAATTTACCCTTCCAAAAAAAGGTAAGGAGAAGAATTTTCTTTAGTGGATTCCTCTAGTTCCTGTTTAGTGCCATTTGTTTAAGAAGTTGTTTCTATTTCTACGTCTGTTTCTTCTGCACTTTCCCCCCTTTCTTTCGTTTTTGAGGTTTCTTTTAGTTTCTTAGTAAGAATGGGTGACAGTATTCTCCCTAAACAGTAGACACACGTCAGTGAAATGGATAGAAAATATATTAGAGAAGATCTCACTTCGGCCCAAACATCCTCCTAATTAGGGATCTATCTGTCCCCACCAGGAGATTTCGAACGATGATCCCCACCACACTAACCCCACTGTCCCAATCCAAGCTACCAGCTGCTAGACTGGGGTGCACCAAGTAGTGCACTAACTACATTGTTTACACACGACACGAATAAAAGACTCTCTCTGTCACTACCACTGATACTGGAATTTCATTCAACATAAAAAAAACAAAAAAATAGGAGTAGAAATAACAATGATGTACCTTGACAAAGCTTGAAAATATGCCGACGAGATAGGAAGAGTACTGATCAGGAGTGAAGACTTGGTAGAGCAGAGGATTGACATAGTAGCTCTGCACAAAGTCACTGCTACCTGCACTCAGTAAATATAATGCATCCTTGATGATGGAAGCCGCCTTTGCACTACCTGCTACCTTTGCGAGCTTAGCCTGGTACTCTTTGTAATACTGCAACTGTTGTGATAAAGGAATTGCATGCTGCAAAAAAACCTCAAATTCAGCTTGTGATTGCAATGCTAATGACAAAAATTTGATAAAAAAACAGTTAAACTTCTGCACCTTTTGTGATACCAAGGATGATAATTTTCAACACAACACTTTAAATACAATATGAATTCAAAAATGAGACGGCTCGGTTATTCTTTGACACTGCAAATACTTTTGACAGTAATGGTATGGAGAAAAAATGTG